TAATTAGAAATGCTCACACCCATAACAGCCAACTTGCTAATAGCTACTCTTAATTATTAACCCATGTTCATATTTCACTGATAATTTATATAATTCTGTGTGCACTCCAGGCTGCTTATCCAGCTTATACACAAACACTGCCCAGCTAATCTCCAACATATAGTTAAAGTGTTTTTTTAAATGAGACCTAAATCTGGCAACAATGGCTAGGATGCTAGAAGCACTATTGCTGACAGCAGGGTAGCTAGTCCAGGCCACAGGACTAACAGCTCCCCTGCTGATAACATTGCAAATGCATAATCTAGCAATGCACAGGAGGACAGGTTCTGACCCACCTGGCAGACAGGAAATACTCCTCCTGGCTGTACAAGGCTGGTTTTTATTTATGTTAGTTACAAAAATGATTGAAAATGCACACTCTGTGTACAGTTCAGCTCCATGCAATCATGTGATCCATCTGTCTTTCTTTTCTAAGTAAAAGAGGGAAAACAATGATCAAGCAATAAAAAATAAAAAAAATCAGAGAGTTGATCCACAGAAGCCCTGCAGACGTCTCAGAGCAGGATACACAGTATACTATTTGCATGTAAATAGCAGTATTTACAGTACTCTGTGTTGCTGTTATTTATGATCTTCAGTAGCGAAAAGATAAATTTCACAGTAACATTAACGTACAGCTGTGATCAAAGTTTACATACACTCGTGTTCTTTTTCCAAGGTGAAATAATTGTACACCAAAGATAACAAAAGAAGAATTGTGTTCACTATTTTTATTGATTTTGGATTCTGTCTAACCCACACAGGGCTAATATGGATACTCAAAAAATATACATCTTTTAATAAGTGGTGCTGAAGGATTTACATTATCTTCTAACTTGGCAAAGCCAATTAATGATCAACAACAAGACTACAACTAGTTTATTTTTGCCAACATAAAAAATGTTTGACAGCACTCAGAATATTGAGAAAGTCCAAGGAACTCAGCGAAGATGTAAGGAGATTTAGAGCTACAGAAGTTGTCTCTTGGAGCTATTTCTAAATACAAAGACTAAGCTATTTGCCCAACTAAGCATGGTGGTGGTAGCATCAAGATTCTGGGCTGTTTTGCTTTTACATAGCACAATTTGGATGAAATCATGACTAATGACAAGTACCTCCAAATTCTTCAATTTCCCCTTAAAAATCTACCGTTAGATGGTTAAAACTTGGGCGGAGTTAGGTGCTACAATAGGACAATGATCCCAAACACACATCAAAACTGGATGGACTCTGAACTTTCGGAATGAATAAAGTGTTAAGGTTGAGCTGTGTGGGCAGGCAGGGGTAGGACCCAAATGCAGGACTTACAGATGGAAAAATTGACTTTAGCAGCAGCTGAGAAAACAAACTAAAAAGAAAGGAACACTAAAAGAAGCGTGCATAAGATAAACTAGAAACAAAGGCTCTGGTAACTAAGGAACCCAAGACCATTAGACGCAGCTAATGTGGAGGACGCGACAACGGACAGGAAAAGACTGATGAGTTGATGAAATGCACACATGGTAAATGGACTGGTTCTTATATAGCACTTTTCTACTCTGAGCATTCAAAGCGCTTTATACAACTAATTCATTCACCCAATCACATCCATTCACACAAGCACGTTAAAAGCTTACTATCTATCATTCATTCACACTCCGATGGATGCATCGCAGAGCAACATGGGGTTAGTATCTAGCCCAGGGATATTTGGCATGCAGACTAGAGGAGCCTGGGATCGAACCCGAACCTTCCGGTTAATAGCTGACCTGCTCTACCACCTGAGCTACAGCCACCCCATCATCATCATAACGAGGGGATTGGAAACAGGAGGGAACACAGCAGAAATAAATCAGACATAACAAGATAAGGGAAGTGAAACTGAACACGATGCATACAGGAAAAGAGACTATCAAAATAAGACAAGAAACACACAGACAGAAACCCAGACTCAAGACACGCACACTTGATTGAGAGACTGAGTATACAAGCATAAACACAGAGCTGAGATTGACTAAACACAGGAGATGCTTAGACACTGAGGAAGGGAGAACGATGATCAGTAAGGACTGAAGGTTAACCGAAACCCACTCTAAACATGAAGAAAGAATTACCAAGGAACTTAGAGCTAGAAACTAAACGATCTAATAAGCACTCATAGGCAAACCAAACATAAACCACACAGAGAATATAACACAGCTTAGAATATCATTTTAACCAGATTCAGAAAGTCCAAAACATAAACCCCCAAAATGACTTTTGCAAAGCTCCACCTTAAACTCTATTGAGAATATGTGGACTACACTTAAAAGTCTCTTTATTTGTCGTCTTTGGGAGAAATTTGCTTTGGACAATTTTGCTCTCATATCATCACAAAAATGATAAATACATACATAGATAAATAAAAATATCAAACATCCAGCCAAAAATCTTGTTTTTTAGTGCAAAGAAATTATTAAAAGCCCCAAATTACCATAAAAGTCAACCTCCTTGAGAAGCACAGGTAAACTTCTGATCACATCTGTGACCAGATTTTAAATACTTTGTCAACCATGTGGTTTGAACTAATGCAGGAAACTGGTGAAAGATGGGATCCCATATTTCACTCTACCTTTTATATATATATCTCACATAATTAGCTTCTAAAATAGCAACTTGTGGCCACTTTAAGTCTTATGACACACACAGTCACACGTACATTTCCAGCCTACAAACACAAGCTGACACTCAGACGTGCCTCACACCTCCCTTCCCGAGGACGTACGTGCGACTTTATTTAGGCTACCCCATTCCTCACTTTTCCGAGTGTGCATGCGTATGTTTGGCTGACTACCCAAAAAATCTGCATGCACAATTGCACGTTGCAAAGCCACCAGCTTGAGAAATAGCAAACAGAGAAAATTAATGAGAGGAAAGACGTGTAAAGCGAGAGAACAGAGGGAGAAAGAAAACAAAATGAAAGTCTTAGACAGCAGACAGAAAGCCGGAGGGGAGCTTAGTTCTTTTGAAACGGACCCTTTTTAAATCTCCTGGGAGTCCACGTGCGACTGCAGACCTCTCACTGAGGAACGGGGGGGGGGTTAAATATCACCCTCACATTAGCCTACACCTCTGAATAGTTAGTGCTTCTTAAGGAGACTAATTAGCCTGTAGGACTCTGAACTTTACATTTGAATGGCTTTTTAAAGGAGATAATGTTATTCAGGGCGCAATTTACTGAATCTGGATATCCACATCAGTTTTATCACATCTTTTCTTTGTGTTCCTTTCAAAATTAATTAAATCTAAATGCACGTGAAAATAAAATGACGCAAGGACACACTTTTGAGAGATTTTGATAATTTTTCATGCTCAGTAGCACAGCGGGAGAGTGTTTTTTTTTAGCTCCCGAGACATTAAAAAGCAGCCAGTATTCAGGGGAAAAAGAATGACGCCTCAACTTGCCTTTCTTTACCCCGAGTCTGCTGTATCGAATTAGTACTTTACAGCATGACAGGCATCAAGAATATGGAAAGGAAGCCCCGGCCTTGCTGCAACCATGAGGGGGAAGGTGGTGTCAGTGGTGTGTAGACACTCAGACAGCCAGATAGCTGTAATTACTTCAGGAGACGACAAAGATTAATTAAGCAAGAGGGAGCAGAATTAATGAGGTTAGCACACCTCAACCAGACTTTAAAAACTTCACACCACTGCCGTAGAGACTGCAAGAGTCACTAATATTTCCCCGTTTCTCATTTTGTTGTTACATAAATATGCATTCAGAGGGAAAGTAAGGCTGTTTCAAAGCATGCAGTGACCTAATCCCAAACGTAATCCTACCTTCAGGGGCTAACAGTATCAGGAATGTTTAATTTGCACTTGAAGGCATAGGGATCACAGTTGATTACTCCATCCAGGTGTAATTGCGAGCAAGATACGATCGACAGCAATTTAAGATGCCCATTAGCCTATAGCTCACCGAATGCTAAATTCAGACAGTTGGGCTCTTAAGACAATGTGTGTAATTGCAGCTTGAGCATGATTAAAACCCTCTCCAAATAATTTTGTCTTTCTCTTGGAAATATCCAGCTCAGGGTTAGCTGAGAATATACAACCTGATAAGTAGGCTCGTGCAGCAGAGAACTCGAGTGTTTACATCACCCACAAAACGACAGCATATAAATAGAAAGCGCTGGAGTCTGACAGACAGCTGGCAACGATGCTATAGCATGTCATATGGCTGCTCTAAGACTGATCCTGTTCCCAAATCTAAACGACAGCCGTGATGCACTGCAGCACACGGAATGACTGAGCACCCAGAGACAAATGGTTTCAAGTTTAGTCAGGATATAAGTAGGTAATGTCGTCATGTTTTTGGCCAGATAACGAGGGCTGTGTTTGTGTCAAGCTAGAGCTCAGTAAATTTATAGACAGGACAGATTTACTATGAGTATTCAAAGCTGGTTCTCAGGATGAAAAACAGGTGGTGAAGTCATGGCAGAGAAAATTTACCCAATGAACAGGGCTTGGCAAAAGATGGCTGGAGGATGTTTCATGACCTCCAAACTGAATTGATGGTTTCTGCCTCTGCCTTATTTTACGATTTAATTTTCATTTTATTTTGCTCAAAATAATTTGACGTAATTGTTTGACAGCGCTTACATCAACTTCAGCTTCTCAATTAGCTAACTTATGAACCGTCATGGCTGTGTGCAGGCAGGCAGGAAAAAAGGACTCAAAATGCTGGACTCAAGGAGGCAAAGGTGAACTTAAAATACAGAGCTTTTTGTGGGTTCTTCTTTCTTGCAACGAACACATATTTTGAAATATCTAACAATTACGACCTATTTCCACATGAGTGTGTGGAACAACTTTACAGTGAATAGTATTTCTAGTATTATGCAGTCTTTCATTTCCTGTTAGCAAACTAAATACAACATAAAAGACAATCCTAACTTTCTGATCTAAAAAGTGAAGCCAAAGTGGAAGTCTTTTGTACCTACATTATTTACAAAGTCCAGCAGGGGTCAAAAAGACTTTATGCTCTTAAATCTATAGACCATCAAATGGTTGGATTACCTCTACAGCATGCCATCAAGTTTGGCAAAGGCCTGGTAACGAGCCATTCATTTGATTCAGGTGTGTTGGAACAAGGATGCGTCTAAAAGCTGCAGGACAGTAGCTCTTGAGGACTGGAGTTGGACACCTCTGGTCTAGACCTTTTGTAAAAACCTTCTTTCTGAGTTCATGATCTTAGTCACACACCTCTTGCTCATCACATCCGATTTGAAAACACCATGTCGGTGACAAAGTTGATGCTCGTGTCAAGACTTCAGAACACGAGACTGCACTGCACAAACCAATGGGTGATGATACAGGAGCTATGTTTTTACTGTGACTTTTCCACCTACCTTGAGGGGGGATTTCAGCTGAAAAATCTAATGTAACTGCCCATCCAGTTATTTGTCCAATTTGCCCATCTTTACATGATATATTTCAGTTACATCCTTGCATCAGAACACATTGATGTTTAAACTAAGAAATGTGTGCCAAAAAATGCATCCTATGAAACCTTGGCATGCGTTTTGAGTGATGTGCGCACCAGTATTGGCCAAATGTCAGTATTGCTAACATCAGCTTTGAGTTCTTTCATTAACCACTGCTGATGTTTATCTATTGTACCAGATCGATTTTATGCTGACTAAATATTTCCAATTAGTTTGATGAAAAGCTGAAATCCCACGTTTCACAATCAGTACAAAAAAGTGGTGTCTCTGGACACATTTGTTAAGCTAACTGATTATTCTAAACTGGCCATGGATGTGAGGTAAAAACTGCATGAACTTATGTTTAAATGTGGCTTGTAGTCTGAAATGCTTTCATTGAAACAAGAACTCTTTTTCCAGTTACTAAGATGCATTTTTGAACTCATATTCAATGCACAAAAAGTTCTGGCAGGAATAAAATAATGAACACATTTAAAATATATAGATATATAATAAAGGTTATGCCAGATTTATCCCAACAAAGATATATTAGTACCAATTACATACCCTGAAAAAACTTCTAGCATAATTAGAAGTGTTGGAATCATAAAAAATAG